CACCCCGAGAGAGAGGGAAGCTGGTTCGAGGAATGTTCCCAGGGCCCTGAGCGGGGGGACCCGGGTGTCTAGCCCATGCCACCGCACACTGCACTCAGGACCCCAGCTGCTTCTGAACAAGCCGCTTTCTATTTTTGTGGCTTCTCAAAGGCATGTCTGGCGCTGCCAGGCCTGTCTGCTGGTCGGACGTGCTGCCGGTCACAGGGCCGCTTAAACCCACGTCCCACCCATGGCCTGACCATTTCCAGCTCATCCTTCCGATGGACGGAAGAGCAACAATTCCCGGCCACCCCGACTCCTCCTTTCTCCACGCCCCGTCCTGCCATTTACCTCCTGCGCCTCCGACTGGGAAGGCTCCACCCCCTCTGCCGCCGCGTTCTCCTCCAGGGTCTTCCCCGAAAACTTCTTCAGCCAGTCGTCGTCCGACCAGACTGGGGCAGAGAGAAGAAGGGCTCAGAACAGGGCCTAAAGCCAACAAGCCCCTGGGTGCACGAACAGCCAGACCTGAACATGCCCTGGGCAGCGTTAGGGTATTTAAGAAGGGGCACTTGATCCCCAGCAAGAGAACTCTTAAGGACACAGACCCCGCATCATGGACCCATTACACAGGTCAGCAGCTGCAGCCTAGTAAAACCTCCTGTAGAGAGGTGCCTCCCTAAAATTACTGGCAGGATCAGCCCCGAGTGTCTGCCCTAGTGGCTACTCTGCCCTGGGAACATTTCCCAAACGGCCTAAGCGATGCAGGAGCCTGAATTCTATTTTTAGAAGCGATGGAGACATGAGCCTGGAGACTCCGCTCTGAGCCTCGCGGCTGCGGGGTGTTTTCTCTTTTCTTTGCAGCCTAGACTCACCCCATGGCTCCTAAGACACCTCGGCACTTTGGAAAACTCCCCCCTCCCAGAGCTAACCTTGCATTTCATAGCACCGCACAACGGGCCCCGCCTGCGAGAACAGACGGACTCTCACAAGCCCTCCTTGCTCCCGTGGGTCGAGCGTGGGACCCCTCGGACAAGGCCCCCAAGCAGGAAATACAAACTTCTTGTGGGGAAGGGCGGCTTTTGACTCCTTTGGTCAGGAAGGTCTCTCCGGGGCAGGATGGAATTTCTAGTGGAAAAGCGTCTGGCCACAGCTGGGGGATTCGCCCGAGCTCTGGGAGAGCCAGGTTCAAGTCCTTGATCTGCCTGATTTGAATCGGTCGCTGGGCGATAGAATTGGTCTCTCTCTGGCCCAGGGAATATTCAGTCATGTAGACAAACGCGACGGCTCCAAGGGGAGGCATGGAGAGAGACTCAGCCAGCCATGGCCCCAAGCACCCAGCTGTGGGTTCTCACTGGCAGCTCGGGTGGATTTCTCTCCTCGCTCGTGAGCTCTCGGGTTTTGTCCAGATGCGGAACAAGAAAGGGTTTGAAATCGTGAAAATTTGCATGGGGAGGGGAGAGCGAGCCATTTCCCACCTGGTTTCAGAGTGTGTTCAGGGGATGGGCAGTTGGGGGGAGGGAGGGATATTTTCAAAATGCAAGTGGTGGGGCCTTGCCTAGCACGTGGGTTTGAGACCAGCAGAAGCATCTCCCATCGGACACGGGGCGGGAACCGCTTCACTCCTGCGCTTGCGTGGCTGGACCGTGTCTGCCCAGTCGCTGTTGTGGAACAACTCCATTCCCACTCCCCTTCGCACCCTGCACGGTCGCTCTCCCCAAGAACAGATGGTTTGGGAACACGCACCCTGCGCCCTGGGGAAGGCAGGGCCGCCTGGGTTTCCTTCACGGGGGGACTAGCCGACAGCCTCTGCCCCTCGGATCCTGGGAGAGGCAGCACAGGGGGAGCTAGGGGCACCGGGCAGGGGCACAGCAAGCGGACGGACCCCACCCCCAGCACAAGGCAGTCAAGCAGAACTGGCTGCGGGACATTCCAGGACTTTCCCTTCCACCCACCGACTCACCCGGCCTGGACGAGCCTTCCTTAATCCGCATGGGCTTGGCCAAGTTGACTCGGATGGTCCTGCCAAAAAGCTCCGACTCGTTCTAAGGGGAATGAAGAAGGTGAGGGGGACGAAGCGCGGATTCTACTCATGCTGTTGGCTTTGCTATGTGCTACGTGATCCCTGCTGTCCTGCAACAACGCCGGGCGTGTGCCTCAGTTTCCCTGGGTGAGGCTCTCACGGAGGGCGGCTGCCCAGCCCAGCACATTCACAATGGCTCAGGAGGTCTTGTATCCTGAGCGCAGGTGGGAGATTCAATCGGGTGACAACTTTTGCCCAGGAAGCTGGAGGAAGGAGGCAGCGGGGTTGCTGAGCAAGTGGGTGAGTCTCGGCTGGGTTAGGATGCAGGGAGGGGGCCCAGGGCGCTGGCTCGGGGTCCCCCTCTCCCCAGGTTGGATTGTACTAACTGCTCCTGGTTCCTGTGTTAACGAGTCTGTGCTACGCTGTGCCCATCAACCAATAAACCTTCTGTTCTGCCTGCTGGCTCAGCGTCCTACCTGGCTGGGGATGGGGTGCAGGGCCGGGGACTCCCCCGCACTCCGTGACAGTGAGAAATCCCCCATGTTCTCACCAGGCCCCAAGGGAAACACAGAACGTTCCTCCCTCCCTGCCGCCTGTCTGGCAGAATTGACTCTGTTACCGTAGCAACTAAGAACCCCACTCACGGACCAGGAGCGCGTTGGGCCAGGCGACAGTCAGACACAGAACCAAACCACAGCCCCCATTTTAGCTAAGAACAGAAGAGCGGCCAGACCGGGTCAGAGCAAGGGTCCATCCAGCCCAGGGTCCTGTCTGCCCACAGCGGCCCATGCCAGGTGCCCCAGAGGGAGCGAATAGAACAGGGAACCATCAAGTGATCCCTCCCCTATCGTCCATAACTGAGGCTAGGGACACCAGCCCTGCCCATCCTGGCTAATAAGCATTGATGGACCTATCCTCCATGAGCTCTTTTTTGAACTCTGTTAAAGTCCTGGTCTTCACAACATCCAATAGCAAGGAGTTCCACAGGTTGACTCTGCGCTGCACGAAGAAAAACTTATTTTTGTTTGTTTTAAAACTGCTGCCTATTCATTCCACTTGGTGATCCGCCCTAGATCTTGTGTTATGGGAGCAAGTAAATATCTTTTCCTTGTTCACTTTTCCCACACCAGTCATGGTTTTATAGACCTCTGTCATATCCCCCTTTCGTCTCCTCTTTTCTAAGCTGAAAAGTCCCCGTTTTTAATCTCTCTTCCTAGGGCAGCCATTCCAAACCCCTCATCCTTTTTGTTGCCCGTTTCTGAACTGTTTCCAATGCTAAGAGATCTTTTTTGAGATGAGGCCAACACATCTGTACGCAGTATTCATGATGTGAGGTACCATGGATTTATGCAGAGGCAATAAGATAGCCTCTGTCTTATTCCCTATCCCATTTTTAATGATTCCTAACATTCTGTTCACTTGTTTGACTGCCGCTGCCCATTGAGTGAATGTTTTCAGAGGACAATTCACCGTGACTCCACGGTCTCTCTTGAGGGGTAGCAGCTAATTCAGTCCCCATCGATTTGTACGTATAGCTGGGCTCTCTAGGAGCCCCCAGCCAGTACTACGAACTGCTGGGACCCCTTTCTGATTGGAGTCCATGCCCACGGGGGGAGAGTTCAGAACCGAGGGACTAAAACACCCACCCATCCCTACTAGAAAAGGGACAGAGGGGACCAAATCCATCTGCCCCTCCCTTGGCCTAAGAGCTGTGAAGGGGAATATCACATGGGAGCAGCGCAGAGCCAGGCGTGGGACAGAGGAAAAGCCACACTTCCCCAGAAACCAGCGACCGGAGAGGAATGGAACCCCTACCATATTGTCAATCGCCGCCGCAGCATCCTACAGAAACAGCAAAAGAAAACAGGTTATTGCTCATCCAGCCATTACTCCTCCCGTCTTCTTGCCACATCTCCCAGGGACCTTTACACATTTTTTTCAGACGTAGCGTCAGCTGTATGGGTAGGTTTCTCCCCACTGGGCCAATCAGCAAATGACTCCAAACTGCGCACCATTCGGGTGCCGGGGCATGCTGCTTTTTATTTTTTGGAGCCTAGGGTAGGGTCAGCAGGCCACAAACAGGTGACAGCATGTGGTATCCGTGGATTAAAGGAACCACTGGCATTTGGGACCAGGAAGAATCCCCAGGATGGAGGTGCCTCCGCATGATCATCCAAAGAAAGCAGAAAACACGGAGATGGTTGCTTGTGTAGCCCCGTGAAGGAGTCAGTGAGAGGTGAAATTCTATTCCCACTTCAATGAACTGCAAACTACCAGCGACTTCCGCGCCAACAGGACTGGATAAAAAAAAAATGGTGGCGGATTTCAAACACTATTCAAATGGGCCAACTCAAATTCTCACCTCTGCCAACTCAAATTCAATGAAAGCAAATCCCCGGTGCTTTTCTGTAGAGAGAGACAATGAACAGTTACAGGCACTGGGAAAACCCAAGAGGTTCGACAACGAGTCACTCGTGTTGCTAAAGGAAATTAACTTCTCTATTGCCACCTCCCCAGCTGAGAAGTCAGACCCTCTTGTGGTTTTAGTGCCTGGAGCAAAGAACTGGTAACATCAGGGGTTAAAAAAAATGGTCCATTTTTCAATCACTTCAAATTCTATAGCAGCATTAAACTGTTCTTTATTGTTCTGGTGTTAATTATACTAAATCTCCATCAAGGTCATTCTCAAGTAATGAATGGAAACCATTTGGTGTACAGAAAGAAGAGCTAAGTTTGCGCCTTCATCCTGAAATAAACTCTAGGGAACCTGGATCCATGCAGAGCCCAACTGAAGCCAGGTCTGTGCACACAGAAATCACTGCAGGATTGGAGCCACATGTAATGATGAGAAAACCCTAAAATTGCTCGTTATGAAATAAATGAAGAAACGGGATTTAAAAGAAAGACATTGCAAAAGACACCATGCTAATCTACTTTAATTTAGTTTTAATTGTTCGTGCAAATATTTCAGGGAGTCCTAGCAAATGCACTGGAGAATATATGGTCTCCATATATTCAGATAATATTCAGATATATGGTCAGATAATACATTTTTCGTAAAAACAGTCAACTGCAATTGCTACTGAATCTATGCTAAGAAGCGGGGAGAGGACACTGGTTTGTAGGTGATTTTTCAGGGTCGGGCTTTTAAATTGTATTTCCATGCCCATGTTATTCAGAGGATGCTAAGAAATTTCTGAAACTGATTAAGTACATGGGAAAACTCAAGTCTCTAAAGTTTTGCCCATTCCAAAGACAGCCTGTGACCTAACACAGCCAGCAAATTGAGAGGCCATGAACCACAGTTGTCCTAGGTGCACTGGGGAAATACTCTCTCCAGATTTGGATGTTACAGAAGCACAATCCTGTCCAGTTACTATTGTGCATGGTTCTCTCTATCAGGGCGGTCTCACCAGCTGTGGTTTCTTGGGAAGCAGCCAATTCCCCAGAGAGGGCAGCAGAAGAAAGCAAGTTGACACTTGCCTCGAATTCTCGAGCATGATTCCTGACCCAGAAACCCACACAAAGCAAGAAAGACGGACCGACCAAAGCAGGAATTGACTCACCAGTTTCATAGTCCAGAGGTATCTGAATATCAGTGATATCTCCAAATGGAATAAAAGCAGCGTGAAGAACCTTTTCATCCACCTCTTCCGCGAGTCCACCTGCAAGACACATAGCACGGTCCCTACCTGCACAGCCTGCTTGCCCACAAGACTTCCCAGGGCAGAATTTACACTGATGCCAAATGGCCTGGCGATTAAAGGCAGCTTGTCACCTGCAGCTAATGCAGAATGCAGGAGTATTTGTATCCAGCTGGCCTTCCCACCAGTCGCCTCGCAAACGAGAGCTCTAGAGACCGACCTGGTTTCCAGGCCATGTGCGGATGCTTCATAGATCAAGGAACCCAACATTGTGAAAAGTTGCTTATGGCTTGAATCCTATCTTAGCCCCAGGAAAATTAAGCCTGTGGCTATGTCTTTGGGGCCAGCAGTTTGGGGAAAAAAACGGAACTCTCTCCAGTGGCCTTTACACTGTTTGCAAAACCTGCTACGGGCTTCAGAGAAAGACAATCCCTTCTGTAAAAAAAAAGAAGGGGCCACCCTCTCCCTCAGCAAATAAGGACCCCAAAGGGGTGGGGGGCCCATTCCAAACTCCTCACTTCTTAAGAACCCATTTGAAGAAATGAAAAATGCAGGAACCACTTGAATTCACAACCAATTCCGGCTCCTTTCCCGCCGGCTAAACTAAATCTGGCTTGCACCAAATACTCCCCTTCTGCCCTCCCCCAAACTGGGGCCACCCTCTCCCTCAGCAAATAAGGACCCCAAAGGGGTGGGGGGCCCATTCCAAACTCCTCACTTCTTAAGAACCCATTTGAAGAAATGAAAAATGCAGGAACCACTTGAATTCACAACCAATTCCGGCTCCTTTCCCGCCGGCTAAACTAAATCTGGCTTGCACCAAATACTCCCCTTCTGCCCTCCCCCAAACTGCT